TATGTTGTGCCATTTGTATTCTTAATGTACATTGGAAATCACGCAAAGGGTTTGACATTTGCCATTAAATAAGGTATAGAGCATTCTTTAAGTAAAAAATCATTTCCATTGCGATGTTAAAGAAAGTTATATCGCAATATCGGTTTTGGCTGACCGTCAATCGATCGATACTTTGACATAAATTACTAGCTTTTTCGTTTATCGTAGGCGGCATGTTGCATTGTAAACATAAAATAGTATTTTATGAAAATGAATCCATCTCTCCCTAAACATTTTAATTTTTTTTTTATTGTATTAATTATCAGGGAACCCAAATTCAATCATAGAATAGTTTAAGTTCAGTTAGGGGTTGCCGGGGAGAAATCAGGGGGCTTTAGGATGTATGTTTTCTAACTTAAAATTTCGGACTTCTCCTTTAGAGAAGCCGACATCAACTTGTCGAAACTCTAGATTCACATGGTTCTAAATTGTTCAATAATTATGTGCTGTCAATTCGATTAATTAATTGCTAAATTACCTTACTTCTATCAGTTTCCATTTTACACTGTTAGTTCATTAATTAGAAATCTTGTAAATGCAATTGTTACATATTCAGGTAGTGGGTTAGTTATAAGATTTACTTGTTATAAATTACTAAAGTCACAGCTCATCAAAAGCTGGCTTAAGGTGTTAACGGCAATGGGCACGATCAACCTCAGGGTAAACTCCTTCTTTTAAAATAGACAGTTAACAGTCCTTCTTAATTTCTAACCCTCATAGTTATTATTAATATATATTTCCTTGTCACAATCCTCACGCATCCACACCACTCTTCCATTAATTTATTCCACAGACATGCTGAACCAATTCAAGTAGTATCACCCAGTCACACAGATTCTCTACATAAATATTACAAATTGTCAACAGAGTACAGAGCGTTCAACACTAAAGGTGTTTTAGTTGGGTAAAGGACGAAGCAACTACAATTTCGCAATACAGTAATCGTGACATCCATCCCACGGTACATCACAATATCAGTCACAGTTAAACCTCATATCGATCTTGTTTCAACACTCATTCCCTGATGTGTGGTTGTAACAACTGATACCAACTTTATAACACAATATTGTTTGTTTCGTAACGATCGGTATAAACTAATCCTCGTTATGTTCTACACACTAAAATCCTGTGTAGATTTTCTGTTTTTTTTCCTATCAACTGATTCATTTAACATTACACTTCGGATAGGCATGTTAAAATCGTTAAAAAACTAATGTGGAGGTAAAAATAATCGTGCTTCTTTTTGGTGGATATCACTTTGCGTCCAAACAAAAATGTTATGGTTTATGATACAATTTACAGTTAAAATTGGAATCTATGAATATTGGAATTGAATATTCGAATTGAATTTATTGGAATCTATGATTATTGGAATATTGGAATAACAGGGATTTTTTTAATTTTAAGTCTTCAAACAAAGTTTAAACAAAATGTACCACAATCGAGGGTATATGCCACAAGAGGGGGTGGGGGTTTGTAAATGGGGCAGTGGATAAAGTTCGACAAATTATTTGGTAAGTCTGTTAAGTTAAATTAAGTCCACAACAAGGTAAAAATATGAGTTCTGTGTTTAACTAGTTTCTTAATTTAATTGTATTCAGAGACTAAACATACCTTCGTAAAAAACTGTTTAGTTAATTTCCTCTTGTCCCCCCAAGGCACCTAAACAAACTTCTAGCTTAACTACCAAGATGGTTCGGATTCTTGGATAGTGTCGTTCTTCCAGGATAACTTTTTCCTTACGATTACCATAACAATCTTTTCTTTTAATAATTTAACTTGTAAATATCGACACAGTGTTTAATTACGTTTATGAAATAAAAAAACTTAAACATGCAGTAAATTAAGGGGGTTTGTTTTTTATAGTTTAAAAAAAATTATAAATATTCATGATAAGAAAATATTTGCATTGGTTACATGAATGTTAACACTTGGAAAACTTCAGTCAGAGTCATAAATTATAAAAAAAAATACCAATATCAGACTGACTTGACTACTCACAACACAAGAAAAATGTTTGCGCTATTCAGTTAAATTTTTATTTTAATCACAAGAATTATTATCTCAATTTTACCAAGGTCTCGCGTACCTAATTAATGGCTGCAGAATGTTTCTTTCACCCGTCTGACAAAGAAAAGAAAGAGCATTCTTATTACAACATGTAGAATAAACGTCGTACATTAACGCTAAGTTTCTTTTTCTTCTTTTTTAAAATGTTGATTTTAATAAATTAATTGTTTGTTGTAACTTTTTAACAATGTTTTCGTCCCAAGAACGATTTCTTTTCTGGTTGCCAAAGCAATATAATTTGCCACTACATACGTAAAGAGTTGCCGTCACAATTTAACAACAAACAACCAGTAACTAAGTTAGAGAGGTTTTATTATATTTACAATTCATAAATTGATATTTTAGTCACTTCCTCCAATAGTTTAGACAACTTAATCAAAGAAAACATAGATTATTTACAGTTAACAACAGCTTTAAAATGTAAAAAAATAATAAAAAACAATTAACTAACATTCATGAAATCTTAAAACAATATCAATGTTTATTGCAAACAATGTTATATGTTTTTAATTTACTGCTAGTTATATAAATAATCTAATAAAAGTCAAAACCAATTAGTCTTATGTAAGGAAATTGTTTTGTTCCAATCCCTACGGAACAGCAATGCCTGCTTGTAAGCCGGGACATAGAATTGCTTTTAGAAGCCCTCTTAGCTTCTGAGGACTTAGGCTTAATATCTTATACCTAAATTGTACAACTAGCTTACGTTAGTTAAAGTTTTGGTTGGGATCCAATGATAGTTATAGTTGTTTGTCTTCAATGATTGCAGTGTTGAATTTAATAGTGATAATACTGATTTTACCACAGCCATAAAAATTTACATGATTTGTTTTTTAGTTCAGTTAAGTAATTTACAATTAGATGGCATTTTATTTTAGCTGTTGACATCACTACTAAATCTTTTGTTACCTGTGAGAACCACTTCAAGTTTGTTTACACTATTTTAGATTATTTGCATAACACAGTTAGCACATGCTACAATGTAGCATCTTTGGTGTTAATGAGAATATGTGTATGTCAAAAGAATGCATAACCTAATATTTTCATTAGGTAAACATTATGTAGGTTTTGCCAGATAAAGATTAGTTTTCAAAATTATTGCTTTGACCACTATTTAAAATTAAATACCATATCAGCTTTATCTAAAAAAAAAACTTTTTTAAACAAAAAATTTACTATATTATAAATGAGTAAATCTAAAGTCCAACAAATCAAGGAGGGCGAAAGTATGAGTTTCAATACTGCTTTGCAACAACAAAGGATTCAAACAAAAACGAACTTTGTCTTTGTCTATTGGTTGGGGTGTTCATTAGAGATGGTTTGTAAATAATTTTAAATTTTTTTTTGTAATATGATTATTTACTAGCAATGAGCTTGATAGCTTATGAATCAGTATTGAATAAGTTTTAAACCCCTGTATAATTCATGTTTTGTTAATTTTTAAACAATAAATCAAAGAGTTCATTTTCAACATGGTTTGAAGTTAAATTAATTCAGGATATAAACATGTCTAACGCAAAACTAATTCAGTTGAAATATGTTTTGTAGTAAATCACCTTTATGCATTCTCTAGCTAGCCTATAATAATTTCGATATTGAAGCGATTCTAGTATTTTATCAAGTGTAATTTACTAAATATTCAAAATAAAGCTGAAGTATTAAATTTGTCACAAAAAAGTTTTGTTTAGTTTTAAAAAACGAATCCCATTACTAAGAAATGTTTAAAACTTAATTGTAAGCTTTATAATAGCTTTTAGATATAACTTATTTTCATAAAAAATATACATAGAATGTTGTATGATTAACCCTGTAGGGTAATATTAGAAGATTATTTATTGCCTACCCCCTAATATACCAAAGTGCTGTGAACTATTTGGTGATCAAAGTTAGATTTTTACCATCTAAACTGTTATTGATTTTCTGAGGATTACATTTTTTTATATCAGTGTATCTTATCGAAAAGTGTTATAGAACATGCACCGATACAAGCTTTTCAGTATATTTTTTTCCAAATGATGTTGCTTATTAGGGTTATAATTGGTTTTATAGAAAGCTTATATAGCCCGATTTCTTAAAAAAATGCATCTATTGCATATAAAAATCAATAACTACGCATACCATTGGCTACCTCTATATCATGATTAGGCGATATTTCTTTTAAGTTTATGATGATTTGACATCGACGTTTATTTCAATTCTATAGTGAATGTTATTTCAAACCATATAGGTAAGTAAAAGATCTCCATCCACCTGATTACATTTACTCAGTAAATAATTCATAGTGGTGTTATAGTTTTCCATAAAAATATCTACAGGTTGAAATTGTCAAAGAGTTAATTAGCTCAGTTTCAAACAACATGAGACGATACTGAAAAGTCATACTTATAGATGTATAACCATTCATATTCTGCCAAGGGTTTCCAAATCCACCCTTTTTTAAATAAATAAGTATTTTTTCTGTAATATTTTAATTTCCATTCTTTTGTCTTTTATACAGTATTTCTTTTCTTTTATGTTTTGGAAAACAAAAAAGGTATACGTCTAATAACACTTGTAATAATATATTTATACTTCTACTGTTGACCCACAAGACGGTAAATAAATATAAAAAAATGTGATGAAAATGTTAATAAATGTTGAGAGAATTATAAGATTACAAGAACCATTTTAATTACAATATCTAGATCCACAATATGTTTTTGTATGAAATCTTTCTTTTAATTTGTACAAGATATATTTCTATATAATTATTTTAATTTAAACTATTGCATTACTTTGAAGCAAACAGTATTGTTGAGTTCTAGCTCAATATACTTTACGTACAAAAATGTATCTAAGCTACAGTAAAACTATAATTCTGTTTTCCACCAGCTTAATTTTTGACTACGTACCCACAGCAAGGAACCGCTAAAGTTCCATAATCCCTATGGAGCGGACACCACTAGATGCACAACCGGCAGCGCACTCGCCAACAATGAAACAGTTCATAGCGATCGGGCAACTTCGGCCAACCTCGTAGACGATCGGCCGTCTTCGGCCCTCCTCGTCAAAATTGATTGGGTACGTGGTAATGGCAAAGTGCTAATCAGCCATATTAATCGCAAAGTTCCTGGAATATAATCCCATTAGTCTCAATCACTTAAGCAACCATCCACATCAAACTCCGCGGCCATTCATTTCATCAGCTTCAGAATTGAAACTTTCTCATTTGCGATCTTTAATTGTGATTCATTTTTCACTTACAGTGTCTCCGTTTTCTTTGTCAGTTGAACCTCCATTTTGTCATGGAATGAATCCTGAAGGTTTCAAGTTTCGAAATAAGTTTGGAAACGCTCTTTGGTTAATCTGTTTTTAACGAGCACTCCAATTGAAATGTGAGTGATAAAATATCTTTTGCTGGATAACTTTTCTCATTATTAAATATTATTTTCCTTTTAAGTTATGGAAGTGTATTTATCTTTGTGTTTTTTTTGTGAGTTAATTTACGTCAAAAGATTTTTTTTGTGGAAAAGTCTAATGGCGTTTTGTTATAAAAATTACCGACTGATTATTAAATTAATTAAATGTTCAAGACACAAACGCACTTTTGGGCTTACATCCTGAACTAAAGTTGAATTACATCAGGGTAATTACATAATGGAGTCCACAGATCTTTGTAATTTCATTGCTGGCCAAGACCAGTTTAATCTTTCATCAGGACTTTATAGCAGTTTATCCCAAAAAAAATACAGTTTCATTTTCAAAATTAGCAAGCAGCTACAGTTATGGAACAAATCTTTATAAAACTATAATTCGGCTACGGTGGTATGGTTGGTGGCTATAGTTATGTTTTAATAAAGATTCCAAATTAATTGTGAAAATTAACCAAATATTCTAGCAGTTTTATACTCATGAACAAAGCCACAGCTCCGTCTGTTCAACAAACGCAGCTTGTAGGCAGTCTCTAAATTGCGTTATGCAGCCTGAAGGCGCTACTATAGTCAAGAGTATAACCAATGGCGTAGAATCATTAAATTTTATAAACAACATTTTCATGCCTGTTACCTTTAAGGATCATGGTTACAATGATTATATTGTTGTCGAATATATAAATTAGAATGCTCTTGTAGTATATAATCTAATTTATTATCTCACTCATACAAAAACAAAACTCATTCATATTTTGCACATAATTTGTCATACCAGTTTTCAAGAGTAATTATATTTAAAGCAAAATTATAAACACAAATAAATTGTTTTAAATAATTATTGTGATAAAGATTATGAAACTATTAAACACATTAAAGGGTGCATTGATATTTTAATGGTATCTTTTATCCTTAAAGTAAACATTTTTATAAAGGACCAAATTCATGTGTCTTTATATGTTTCATTTAAACCAATCAAGATGGCTTCGTTCCATTTATCTCAAAAAATTGGTTGTATCTGTGTATAGTCAATGGTTGTACTAATTTCTTAAATATATTTCAGCATTGTTCAAATATATTTAAAACTAGCAGAGTACACGTCCTTCGTACGGGGTTGGCAAATAAGTATATGCTTATTGCTGTTATACCCGATCTTTGCGTTTGCGATGTGGGAAAACACGGTTTGAGAAAATTTGCTTCCTCAAATTTACGGTATGCGATAACACATCTACCATAGTCATAATGTTTTACTACTTCACCTACACAATAGAGAAGGATAGATTATTAAATATTCGCAAAATATCATGAATTATTCATGAAATTAAAAACATAAACATAACTGTAAACAATCCTACTTTGACAGCTCTCATTGTGTATCACAGTTTTTTGTTGCTGCTTAGTTCAAACTAGTGTCCCTGTCGCTCGAATTCGAGCAATGCTAAGTATTAAAGGCGTTATTTTAAAACGAATAACAGTCATAATTTCTGATGACTTTAAAAGATTCAACTCAAAGATTTTGGAAATACTCATGATGTAGGTACATCAGATCGATATAATCACAATTTCTTGTAAATATCTTATAATTTTTTTAAAAGCTGATCTAGTTTTTTAGTGTTTTCTACAAATAGCCTTACTCATAGCCGCATTAGGTTGCCCATAATAACATTATAAATATAAAAAAAACATTTCTATTTCTTCTCCTTGGTGGTGTTCTATGACATTCCTATGTTTCCATAGTTTGCTAATGGGCTCTTTCAATGATTAATAAAAAATGCAGCACAGTGTTAATTCAATTTTCTTTTTAAGATATAAATTTATCCAGGCTCTCTCGCTTTTTTCCATTGTAATATTTACGCCAACCCAAATTCAAATAGTTAACATTTCATGCAGCAAACTGTTAAATTAGCAAACTTATTGACGGTTTACAATTAACATATGTTCTTCTTCTCACTTTTAATTTCTGACAACAGCTGGAGTTTCATAACAATTTTTGTTTCCCATGTTAATCTTATGGAGAAATACGAAACTTTAAAGGGCCCCAGGGCCTCACTCTCTAATTATTTCCCTAAAAAGAAAGTTTCCTGCACAACTTCACGTTACGTTCTTTCCAATGAGACCAAAAACATGTTAATCGGTTCAGTAGTTTCGGAGGAGTAATTGTCACAAAAATCCTGCTTGCGTATTCAATTGCTGCTTAGTTCAAATTAGCTGTTTTCATAAATAATGAAACAAATAATAGTGCTGCACCCTGTTGGTAAATCTTATAAATTTTTAATGCTTTTGCATATCATAGAACCAACTCTTTTAGTTGAAACAGCTGGCTAAATTCTTTAATTCCCTTTAAATATGAATACTCATAAGGTTAACATGGGGAACTGCAGAGCCACTGGGGCGGAGCCCAAAAGGATTTTTGAGATAAGAATATGCCTATATGTTAATCGGGAATGTGAGCTACCATCATGCCAAATTTCAGCCCAACCCGACCAGTATTTTTCGTGTTTACTTCTCACAAACATACATACATCCATACATCCAAACTTTCTCATTTATAATATTAGTAGGAAAATTGCTTACCAAATAAATATGCCATTTTTCGTCATACTGCAGCAAATACAGCCAATTTTAATACATGCGTTGTGGGTTTAAATTAGCTAGTTTTTTTTTTCTCTAGGGAGAAAAGAGCGTTTTAGTTCCTAGGGAAAATATCAGCTGTTGTAAACATCGATTGTATGCAATCTCATCTCATGTATCGAAGTTATATATCGATTGATTCAATTGGTTGAAGCTTATTTTTGCATTATAGTTTAACATAATGTGCAGCTTGGTTACTGACTGAGATCAGCTGTTTCCTTAGCTAGTACTAATTGTTAAAGTTTCAATGATCAAGGACATGAATGTCCAGTTTTGAACCATCAAAAACTTTTAACATTTGGCCAGAATCAAACCAACAACTTTCTAATCATCACGAGAGTTCAAAAACATAGATCATGTTTTAAACAAGTTTACCTAAACTTTGTAATAGCAAACACGAATACTTCAAGTTAACAAATAGTTATCTCAGAAATATTCTGTGGGCACTAAATTAAATCTTTGAATTGCATACATAAAAAGTAGACTTTGTTTTAACGTCCCATTGTACAGAAAGTTTTGAGCTCCGGAAGGGAACACAGTTTAACAAACTGTACGTGGGTTTGAGTGAATTTTCAAGCTCATTACGGAACATTTTAACTTTTAAGAACTGCAAATTGTTTGATATTTTTAACATTGAATTTACATCATGATTTAGGGCAATACTTCCTGCGATTGCGTTATTTTAATTCCCCACGACTTTAGCGAAAGATCAAACTTCACTACATTAAGGAATTGATGCCAAGAGCTATAAATATGTAAAGTTTGAAACAATCGAATTAAAGTTCACAAGTCGATGGTTTACCGTAAGGACACTAGTTGGCCAAGTTATATTCAATTCTGATTCAATTTCAAGTTGTGTTTGTAGAGGCAGTGTTTGAATACCAATTCTATAGAGAAGTTACCAAGTACGATAACTTGCTAAATTTTGAACTTCTAAAGAAGAACTCGGTTTCTTCTACTTTATGTGATATAACTGGTGTGTTTTAGTTACTTATAAAACTTTATGAAGCTACTGACAACCAGGTTGTTTTAGCGAATTTCCCTTTAGGGAAGTAGCTATTACCGTAGCTAAACATTTATTTATTTATTTATTTATTTTTAGGATGGTAAAACCTCGGCTCGGGACCGATTTACTTTTTCATTTTGATGTCCCCAGAGGCCAAAAACACCATTCGTTCAAATTTGTATACAGTATATGTATATACAGGGTGAGTCTTCTAAGCTGTCCTAAACAGATTACATACGAACGGCTTGACATACAGAGATGAAACAAAACTTTTCCCCACTAATTCATACCCAAGGAACAACGTAAAAATGTTTTTTACCATTTTTAAAATACAGGGTGTTCAAGAAACTGGGGGTCATGGGTTCGAATCTCAGAGTTTTTAAATGTAAACATATGTCATGTTATGCATAATTTTAAATCTATAGACTAGCCAAACAATTTAGTGAAAACAGGACTCATTTATCTTTGTCCGTTTCAAAATGGAGGCCATTTTTATAGAAAATATTGATACTTACAGAATACCCTGTATCTTGAAAACCACTAAACTTATTTTCGTTCTGTTTGAAAATTCTTAATCCTCGTAGGTTTAGCTTTAATTTGATATACGACCAGTCAACATTTTAAAAACTAAATATTTTTTCTATGATTTTAATTTTTTTTAAGTTGGTAGCCTTGTAAATGAAAATAAAACAGGTGCCCATATAAAACTCATGTTAAACGCCGATACCATGGGAATAGTGTATCTGCATCCACTAATCTTCAGTACTGCACGTTTAACATGGGTTTTATATGGGCAATTGAAGTTTTTGGTTAATTACTAGAAAACGACCAAAGATAGACGGTAGGTTTAAATTTAAAAGTTGTTTGTTTTTACAAGACCTTCAAAATTATACACAATTTTACATATGTTGCCATTTAAAAATTTTC